TCTAGTGGCAGCCTTCCACCACAAAAAAGCCCAGCTTCATAAAATGATCTTCATTTGTTTCACTAATTTTTCCCTTGGCTCCTCACTTAAGCATCAGTCCCATTAATGCTTTGATGGGGTGACTGCTTTCCAGAGACAAGTGATCCCACATCCAGCAGGGTGCTGACCTTCAACCACAGATGCTTGGAGTCCACTTCCTTTTATTAAGCAGCTTGAGAGGAGCCTCCTCCTCCTCCTGGTCTTCTTTTTAAGCCACAGGGATGACTTTAAGTGAAAGTTTTATTGAGGTCTCTTCCAGACCACTGTTTCAACCAAGAGTCTTTATTTATTTGCACCTAGCTTCAAATGTGGGGAACGTGGGGCTCTAGAAACAAATGCTTGTGGAAATCTTCTCCTTTTTCCAATAGTTCAAATTGCATAGTATTTCTATAGCTTTAACCAGGCTCAGAAAACAAGCAGAAGTGTCTTGACATTGCTATTGGTCACAATGATTGTGGCTGTGCCCGAGAAATGGCTGAACAGAGAGATGATCCTTTTGCAAGGATGTTACTTCACAGTATCAATGTCCTCCAGTCTCAACCTGTCGGGTGCCTTCTAGATAGGTTGTCACTATAGTTTTTCAAATTCTCACTCATTTATCTAATTAGAGAAAGCTTCTGTGGCCCAACAGCCCTGCCTTATTCTCTGTGCAAAATCCACTGAGCTGGATACGATTAGGCTTGAGAAAAGATCATTGGGGATTGTGATAGCACTTTTCAAGTACTGGAAATACATAGGGAGACATGCTCTATTCTCTCTCTTTCCATAGTTCAGGACACAGAAGAATGAAGTTCCTGGAAGGCAGATTCCAGTTGAGCATTAGGAAAAACTTCCTAACAGGAAGAGCAATTCGACAGCAGAACCAGCTAACAATAGAAGGAAGCAGCGGCCTCCCTTTCCCAGGCTATGTTCAAGCAGAAGTTTTACGGCCGTCCATCAGGGATACTTTAATATGGATCCCAGCGCTGAGCTGGGAGCTGGACTCAAGGGCCCAGATGGCTCCTTCCAAGGCCACGATTTTGGGCACAGTGGGACTTCCCAGAAACTGGGTATAGATATGCAGTTTCAATGTGCTGGAAGCAGAAAAGGCTTTATTTAACCCTGTGGTGTCACAAGTGTCTCTTATCAAAGAGTTATCTCTGATGGTCTTTCTTTCAATTCTCTTTGGTTTTGAAACTGCAACCAGTAATCTCGTATTTTAAACAAATGAAATAAATTCTCAATTTTACAAGGCGTCTGAAGTGTTTCATCTACCACAGATGGGCCATTCTCAGAATATTTATTTATTTATTTATATATCAAATATCTCACTGCCCATCTGGTTGAAATGACTCTGGGTGATTTACAAAACAGTTAAAATCAATTAAAATTACAATATACAATATCTTTAATAAACAGAAAATAATTAATTTTAATTAAGTTTAATAAAATATTAATCATCTTTAGTCAAAACCATAGTGACTAAATATGATTCCAGCCAGCAGAGATATCTCCACTGATGATTAGTGGAAGATTCTCCAATATTCACAGAGTGAAGACAGCCTCCTCTCCTCCCGCCCCTCCGATGAAAGAGCACTCTACTGTTCTAGGGGACAAATTCACGTCATTCTGCACTTTGGAAATTTTCCTCTTTTTTCAAGACTAAAATGATGCTTTATAAAATACCCTGCCTTCTGCAACAAGGTAATTAAGAAACAATGATTGACTAACTGGAAAATATGGGCAATTTCGGAAATCATTGCAGGCAAAGGAAGCAGGAAAAGCAATAGTTAAGGGTTAAGTGACTGATGCAAATGATACAATACACCGCTGTTCAAAACAGTTTTTTTTATTATTTTTTTTGAGACAAACACATTGATTTTCTGGACCACAGTAGAGGATGGAAACCTTTCACAAACTTATTTATTTGAAAATACAAATATAAAATTATACTTTCCATATCTGTGATGTGAGAGACCCCCATCCATGTAGTATTTTTACAACAGGGCTTCAGAAAGCCATACACAGAGACCTGAAAGATGTTTGATATATATAGATACACGTGTGTGTGTGTATGTGTGTGTGTGTATATATATATGTGTGTGTGTGTGTGTGTGTGTGTATATATATATGTGTGTGTGTGTGTGTGTGTGTGTATGTATGTATGTATGTGTATGTATG